AGTGGCAGAAGAGTATTTGAGGAATTAGGAGGGGTATTGGTAGGAGTAGCAGTGGAAAGTGGAAGTCGTAGCAGGAGCAGCAGAGGTAGCAGCAGGTGTTGTCAGCATCCTAGTAGCCGGGGTTGTGGTAGAAGCCATAATAGCAATCACAGCAAACTGAAATCCTCGAGAGAAGCAACCAACGCAAGAGTGCCAACAAAACGCAGTAATTACTGTCAAAACAGTAGCCATGGTCGCAAGAACGCTGCAGTATAAGCAGTGACAATGCTTGCAAGCATCATAATCAATAGAACCTAGGGCCTGCGATTGTTCCAAGTTTAAGGCATCAGCGCTTAAACATTCAGGGTGCTTTCTCGAGATTGTGCTGCTTTGCAGTTTGGGGCGTCTGGGTTTAATCCCTCGGCAGTTTGTTGTGCTGCAGGGTTTAGGCTTCACGGTCAAGGCTGACTCAAGACTCAAGCCTTTGGCTTCCACTCCGAAAACCCCGAACTGCCATCGACTCAGGCCCTTCGGTCCTGAAGCAAGCGATCGTTGTCGAGCACCTTTTGGGTGATGCAGCTTGCTAAGTCTAGGACCCTGACTTGCTGTGCCTAGGACCCTGACTTGCTGTGCCTGAGACTTTGACTTTGGGGTGGCGTCTTGCCAGGATGTTCATGCTCAGGCAGAAGTATGCAGGGCCGCGGCGCTGCTAAGCGGGCGTTCAGGGTTGCCTCCGTCCCTCCTACGAGACCCTGTGCGCTCCCTCGGTCCTCCATAAACCCTAAACTCCATGTTCTGCATCACCGAGTTCGATACTTCTGCGAAGCCACTCAGAAATGTCATAGACGCACATTCCAAAGCCCAACCAGGTCGAGCTGGATAGCACGAGGACGAGCAAGCGTAGACTTCAAGAAATCACCCCACGATGCCTGAATGACTTGGCAGAGCTTTGCTTGCAGGCGCAGTACTCGGCCAAACCCATCATCAGGCCGCCCCTAGGCTTGAGAAGTCTTCACCCACGCAGTTCCAGTTTCTTCCTATCCTGAGCCTGCTCCTCCAAGAGCCTCGATGGAGACACGCGCCGGCCGCTGACCAATCTGTTCTTTCGCAGTGCTTGGGTGGCGTTGTCGTAGCATCGCCATGCCCCGGACAGGGGGAAAAATCTTTTCCAGAGGCTGATGCCATGGCGGAGACTTTCTGCGATGAGAGCCTGCACCAGATCCAGTGACTGCGCAACTCCGAAACCCCAGCTGCTTCCAAACTACATACTGTGCCCCCATTACAAGCATGGGTTGTTACCACGCTGCTCCAACAACACATACATAGCTCGACATCGTTCTTAGTTCCGCAATTCTCTAGCACAGATGACACCGAAAAACCCATTGATATGGTCCGTCGTCCGCAGCCATGCCTAGACACCCCTCCACAAATTGCTACAAAGTATCCCCTGACTTAATCCCAAACCCCGAACCCTACGCTACAAACACTCCCTCTGCGCAACTTCCACCCCCCGCCCCCCCCCCCCCCCAACCCCCAACTCACAAACAAGAAAAGCACCTCGAGGTTCAGGTCCCCGGGGCTCGGAGCCGTCCCGGCCCTTGGGAAAACGAGCTTGAGGTGGCTTAAAGGCTCGCAAGCTTCGGGCCTTTAGGCGGTTCAGGTCTTCAGGGGCGGGATGCCAGTCGGACCCAAGAAACCACTTCATATGAAAGACTGCTATCCAACGACACTCTGCACCTGCAGGACCGACCAGTGTTGCTTCAAGTTGGAGGCATAGCAGGATTGAAAGTCTAGAGTATGGGGATGATGCGGTTTGTTGGAATCGACTTCAAGCTAGATAGACTTGCAGTTTCGGATTTCTTGACTGGGGGGGTTTGGAGTTCAGCGATGCAAACTTAGCGACTTGGCGGGGGGGGTGGGGGGGTTGAGGGCTTAAAATTTGGGATTCATTAAAGGTTTAGGGTTTGGGATTTAGAACTAACCCGAAACCCTAAACCCTAAACCCTAGGGGCGAAAGCTGGAAGTTAAGGTCTGAGCCTGCCTTGGGGTTCAGGATCTACCCTTCGAGGCGCAGGCTCCCATGTTTTTTGGGCTTGAGCCTCGCCACTCCAAGCCATCGTTTTTGAAGAGTTTAAGAAGCCCCGAAGGGCAGAGATGCTGCGACTATGAGCCCAAGATGACCAGTAGTAAAAAGGCTGATACTATTCTTTCCACGAAACTACCCTAACTTCCCTCTCTCTCCAAACTCCTCTTCAACCCTAACCCCAAGCCTCGAGCTGACAAACCCTACAGAACCCAAAAACTGACACCTAAAGACTTGTGACCTTGGCCGTGGAGACGTAAACCCCTAAGTGCTGTGCAATGTCTAATCACTGTACGCTGCGCCCCTTAGTCGACCCGAAACTGAGAAAATAACGTGTAATAATCCTTTGGATGCCTACTATCATCAGACGTGAACACAGTTGCGCAGGACCACCCAGAGAAGAATCCAATTAGGGAAGATGGCCTAAACTGTACGGATCTTACCGGTCTGTTTGAAGGTATCTTCCTTAAAGAAGGGGGCGTTGGGCTCGAGCCTTACCTCCGGGTTCCCGGCTGTCGAAGCCGAAGATTCCTCCAGGACAAGACCTCGCTTCGGTCGCGAAAGTCTGTGGGTTAGGGCTGTTCAGGGCTTCGGGTCCAGGGGCTAACTAAAGAAAATCGATTACTATTATTACTATTATTACTATTATTGCTATTATTACTATTATTGCTATTATTACTATTATTACACAGGTTTAAGCTCTGAAAATTTAAGTGGGGTTAGATATTTGAGGGTGCGGGGTCGGGCTTAATTACTGGGATCAAAGGCCTGAGCGTCTGATCGTTTTCGAGGCTATAGGGGTGAAAGTTGGGGTTTTAAGGGTTAGGGTTTAGGGTTTAAGCCCATCACGAGCCGATAGTGGAGAAACTTTTGCCAGCCACATCATTCACTTTACGGCTCAGCCGTCTTTCGACTGCATCGGTTTTGCCCTCACGCGGATTAACTAAGCATAAACCTGAAACGGAAAGCCGTGTAAGCGCATGTCTAAGCAGCTTGCGTAACTGGATCGCAGAGCTTTCTATGTAGAGTCTCTATGTGAGGTCGGCATGTGGCGATTGTGTTTTGGTTTACCAGAGTTCGTGGGCTTGTCATGCGGCTATCCAGATGCAGGATGTTGGGCAAAAATGGCGGGGGGTAAGCACACACCCAAAAGTCACTCTGTGGTTTTGGACTGGACCTTCAGCTACTCTCCAAGTGCTTATGTTCCTTCGATCCAGAAACTCCCCAAAGGAGAGACATTTCCACGCTGCCGGGGGCCCCGCACACTTCTTGCCCTGAACCTCGACGCGCACGTTGGCGACGAGCTGCCCAGAAAGGGATGCGAGACGTAAGTTTGGGAATATCGGGGTTTTGACGGCATTGCGAGCTGTCGGGGCCTTTGTTATGGGACTGTAGCAGTGGTGGCTGTAGCTGTCGCTGACCTCGTCAGGCCGCCATCGTCCTGGATCTTGTGTTGCTCATGGTGTCGGTTTTTCTCTTCCGCTTCTCCTGTTGCTGCCTCTAGTACGGCATCGAATACCGTTGCATTGGCAGGGTTCAACAAGGAGCACCTATGACTCAGGATCGAGCGAGGGCTGCGAGCAAACTCAAGATCTCAAAACCCGCCTCTGCGCTTCAAACCCCCAACCAAACGGTCTTAATTGTACTCGAATATTACCTATACTACATTGGGGGTTCCTTACTA